ATTTGAATATTTAAAGTCTTTTAAAATACAAAGTTTCGATTGGAAATTTGAAAAAAGTGTCATGTACCCAATACTTTTGCATAGGGTAATTTTGAACTTTGATAAAAAAAAATGGATTCAACCATGAGATTTTAATTTTCCTTCCACATACAACTAAAACAACTTTACGAGATATTACTTATCAAATATCAGGCAAAATGGCGAACATAAATTAGAGTTATAACAGAAAATAACATGTATCCAATACTTATGCATGTCACGGTATATGTATATATATGTGTATATATATGTATATATATATGTACATATATATGTACATATGTGTGTATATATTTTCCTTTTTTGCCTCTTCCTTTTCTCTGTCTGGATAGAATGACTCCATTTCTCTAATACCTTTAGTCTGAAGAAATGAATATACAAATATATTCATGAAATAAATTATAACCAAAATGGATTTTTAAGGATTTTCTTGACTCATTATTGTTCTATTGCTTTGTTACTCACATTGAACTCTCTTTGCATTAATGTCCTCCTTGGAATTATCACTACCAATTACCAATTGGTATTCTATCTATCTATCTATCTATCTATCTATCTATCTATCTATCTAACATACATAGTCCGACAATTATTTTTAGACATTTTTATGTTTATAAATTCTTTTTATAGATACAAATATCTAAGTAAATGCTCTGTTTTAATAATAAACAGTATTAAACAACATTTACTGGCCTGTTTATTATAAAAACAGAGCATTTACTTAAATATTTGTATCTATAAAAAGAATGTATAAACATAAAAATGTCTTAAATATGTGTGTATGTATTCTTGATCAGTATATGTATGTGTGTATTCTTGATCAATCCAAATTCATAAATAATTATATTGGGTATAATTATATTGGGTATGCTACATTACATCTCTCTGACCATACCTCAATTAGGTCTCATTTAAATACACATGGAAACTTACCGCAACATACTTGTTGATAATACAAATATAATAGCCTAATCAACATGTAAAAAAGTATAAAAATAATGCAAGCATTACTAATAAAAAGAAAAGCCAACACTCAATATCAACTATGAACACAGCCACAATGTGTTGACCATGTTTGGAAAATAAAACTTTCCTATAACTCTAGATACATACATAAAACAATCCATACATTCTGTGGAACAGACTACCAAGTGGATGTTTCCCTGATCACTACAGTCTTAACCTGTTCAAGTCTAGAGTTAACTGTTATCTTCACCTCCTATCTGTAAACTTACTCCTTAATATAACTTTCTACCTCGAGTGGGCCCCCAGGCCTACTGTAAAAAATATTTTAAAAAATCCTAAGCCTGCAATCTAGAAATGTCATTGTGATGCAAAACCATGTCCTACATGTTTATATAAAGTTTAACTTTAATTATTCTAAGTAGCTAAGAATTTCTTTCTTCTTGAATTCAAACTTTTTTATCAACAGGGGAATTTTTGTTGATTTTAAATCATTTTCAATCACTTACTTCACATTTGTTTTTAGCAAGATTTTACATCATTTGAAAGAAATCTTGCATCAGAAGGTTGTTGAAGGCATGGGTTCTTCCCCTGAGAAAGTTGAGATACCGCATGACATTAAAAATGTATTTTGGCTTTTAATGATATTATTTTTAATGACAATATTAAAAAAAATAAACATTCTCATGTATTTGATGCTAATTTTATACTTTTATTATTTTCTTATTTATTGTTTGGTTTATAAAATTATAATAATAATAAGTGGTACATTTGATAATGAACTGTTTACTCTGATATCCAATGCCAATGTCAATATATATATGTGTTTATCAGTTGAGTAGCATGAAGAAGTGAGGTACAGTGGGTGTCACAGCCCTGGGTATACATATCAGGAGGGCATTCAATCAAAGAGTGAAATAAAAATTTAGTTTTTGTAATTTGAAACAAAGTCTTTCTTTCATGTTTAATCTGTTTTTAAAATGTCTTCCTTTCTCACATATCTCAGTAATAGGTTCTATACTTGAGTCTTAGGAACAAACCTCACCAAACCTCTGCATGCCACTGGTGTTTATACGTATAAGTGCTAATTTCAGTAGCGCTTATTTTTTTAAATTGTAATTTTCTTTCAGAACAGTTCTTTTAAATCAATTAAGAGGCTAATATATCTCGGTAGAATCATTTTTTATTCCGAGATAATCCACTAAGGAGGATCTCTGAGATTTTTTTTTACTAATACTAATACTAACCAGAAGTTCACAGCTAGTAATTAAAATAAAATTTTTAGTCCCTATTTTTTACATTTATAGAAAGATAAAACCGAAAAAATGATCGCTTAAAATTTAAAATGTTTAAAGATTTTCTATTATGAAAAATTTTCCGAAAACTGGAATACTGTTTTTTAAAACAAACTTTTAAGACAATCTCATTTGTTCTCTTTTGTGAAAAATTAAAAAAACTCTGGGAATCACATGAAGTCAAATTATTGCATTTTGTTTGTCAGGGATGTTTTTTCCTGTGTTGTGTTGGAATCTTTGTAAAACTTTTTTTTCAGCAGAAATTATGGAAATGTAAAAATTTGCGACTTAAACATTTTTTTCAAATAAAATTTTGTCATGAAAATATTGGTGGTTATTACAAAAAGAATAACATTTTCTCAGATTTTTTTTAAAATAAAAAATCTATTCATTATAAAAGTAAATAATGAATATGTACTGAGATTTTCATTTAAATTGGATAATTCCTGATTTTTGGTAATTTAAAAAAAAGTGCTGCCCTTCCCCCCTCCCAATTTTTCTTTGAGGGTTTGTAGATCTCAGGTTGGGAAACTTTGAAATCGACATATAGTAGAGAGGGGGTTCCCTATATCAAAGTTTCGTGGGTGGGGGAGACCCTAGCACCATCCTGGGTGTTTGCGTGGTCCAATGATTCTGAGTGATGTTATTGGGAGTTCTAAATTCCTAGTAGGGATACACTGGGCAGCAAAGTTGAAGACAAGGACTCAGACTAAGTGCAGCTAGCTCCAAAGACCCCAACAGTGAAACAAGCAGTTGACAATTACAACAACTTTCAATGGTTGAATCAGTGGATAAAGAGAGCTACACATGACAGATATGTGATAGGGAATGGATGACAGGAGCATGTTTTGGTGACACTGGAAGCTTCTAGTCCAAACCTGCACATTGATGGCAAATTTAGTCATCAACACAATCATCATAAAGGAAGTGATCAGCAAAGAAGAAATTAAATACTTGTATATGAGATAAAGCCATCAAAGATGAAGAATGTTTTACAACATAAAAAAGCAACCTGGGTTTTTTCTTGAAAAATATTTATTTTTCTGTTTCAATCATTTCAGTAAATCTTAGTCGATTTTATTTTTAAGATGACAAATACAATTGAAAGTTAATAAAACTTGTACTTTATTGTTGCAACCTTTTTTTTTTTAAGCTGGTTTTCAGTTTGATGTTTCAATGTTGCCAAGATGAAAAAAGTTATGGAAGTGGAAACTAGGCTTTTACTTATTTTTCTTCTTGGTACTCTCTAGTGCTAAATAAAGTGTGGGGAGTAGTTTGATAAGAAAACAGGTCATTGGAAAAAAATGAGAAAGTCTAATAAATGGTGGGTGTGTAGTTTCAACAAATGGGGTGGTTGGGAAATGATTAAAAATAAGTCTTTCAAACTATAACTAGACTTTTAAGAAATAAAACTAGAAATAAATATCCATTAATAAGTAAAATGTTTTTACAAAATCAAAAATATTCCCATGAAGTCTTGCCAGTATTACAAAATGCCCATTAGAAAAAGTCAAAATTAATAAGCAAGGGTGGTGTGAGAAAAAGAAATAAAATCAATAAATAAAATAATAATAATAATAATAATAATAATAAAGGAATAAATACATTTTCCCATGATGCTATTAGTAAATGAACCGGAAATTTTATTGTTCCATTTGGCTTTGCCAAACCCTTGTAGGTGGGACTGTTTAAGTCTATAAAATAAGTGCCTTTACTAATTTGCTGAAAAAGATGATGAAAAAAGTCCCCCAAATTGATACAAACAAAGTTTTATCCCTCAAAATGTGTTATTATTAAGAGGAAAGACCAAGGTATTTTTTTATTATTTTATTAATTTTTTTTAATCCTTTCTAGCAATTTCAAAATAAAAACTCCTTCCAGTTAATTTAAATTAGTATTTTGCTTATTAGAAATATTAAATTTAAAAATTAATTTAACCCTTAGGTATGATGAATCTGTGGTGGTACCTACAGTGTAAAAAGACAGATATTTATTTCTTCTTTCTCCCCCTTGCTCCAAGATGTAGCATGAAGTGAATGAAGATGTCCCTTCTAGTAATGTTTCTTTTCCCCGGTTTAACGACAGTTGATCTCACTTTCCACTTTCCAATGCATAGCATTCACACATGTTTTGAACTAATGAACAAACTTTACTTTGGTTGTTCTAACTCAGTGACCATTATAACAATGTTTATCCTTACTTACCCAACTTGCTGGACCAGAAAAAGAAAATGGACATACCCAAGCAATATTGAGAACTTTGTTTCCCTCCAATTCATATAAAAAAAATGAATAAACAGTTCATAGTGAAAACTCAAGTTTTGCTACTTCTTTAATTGTTTATATGTGAACACGCACATATCTACAATACCCCAACACACAACCTTAAATTCCATGGAGGGATCCTATGAAGTTATGGTGGATGTTGGAAAAAATCCAAAAATTAATAAGTGGTAGGTTGATATTTATTTGCTACCTGAGAGTATGTTTCCTCTCTCTCTCTCTCTCCCTCTCTCTCTCTCCCTCTCTCTCTCTCTCTCTCTCTCTCTCTATATATATATATATATATATATATATATATATATATATATGGCAATTCAATATTCCTTGTTTTCAGACAGATCCTTCTGTACATAGGATTAATTAAAACTAGACTTTCTTTTTTTTCTCTAGATGACTGACAAGATAAATATTATCTAAGAAAATGGCCACTTTAAGAAACACTGGGGTAAGTATTAATCAATAACAACAAATTATTACTCTTTTCTTCCGGATGATGCTGTTTCAGTCTCATTGTCTTTCCTTTAGAGAATTATTTACCCCTTAAATTGGCTATTATTAATTTTTGACTAGTACTTCATTTATCTTAACTTGAGCTTTTCATCACAACTGGCAGTGTGAATAGTTCAATGAAAATCAACTAAAATTATGATGAAAGAAATACAAGACAAAAATAATGTTTGACAATGCTTCATTTTTTTTTTTAATTGAGTTTACCCCATGAAAGTCAGTAAAGCCACTGAGTGTGTAAGATTTAGAAACAGGAACATTGCTAAGGAGCAAGAACAAAGGAAATCCCTTTAAATCCTGCTCTGTTTCTAACAGAGCAGGATTTAACTGAGCAGTATTGAAAAGAAAATGAGCTATCACTACACATGGACAGTAGCATAAGAACACTCTACCCGCAGAGACTAAATAAAAGGTTGAGATCAAAATTCTCTGAAGGTTATCCAGATTGAGATATATATCATTTAACAAGGAAATTTCTATTGAGTAAAAGTATATACAGGACAATGGCTCTTTAGTATTTCAAAATATTTTTATGCAATTTTGGTAAATATATCTGTTAAAATGAGATGTCAGTGTTATTTTCATTTTTCTTTAATTTAAATGACAATGCACATACTGTATATTAATCTATGTATATTTTCAGGTACAAACACAAGACCTTGAATATGACAAACCACCACTTTTAAATGTGTGGAAACGGGAAGATGTGGTAACAAAATCATACATTTGTTTTTCTTTTTTTTTATTATAAAAATTTGTTCACTCTGTGTGTGTGTGTGTGTGTGTGTGTGCGTGTGTGTGTGTGTGTAGTTGCCATTTTATATATGTAAAGATAAATACATGTATACATTCCTGCATATATATACACAGACATATATATGTGTAATTGTGATTGGCTTTAATTCCCTAATAATAATCTGAAGGAATATTGAAATAATGAAAGATGTCTTCGAAAAGCCAAACAAAGTATTAAGAAAAAACTGGAGGATTTCCTTAAAAAGAAAAGAGTACAGAATTGCTATGTAATATCAATCCTCCTATATAGCAGTGTATGAGAAAAGTTTTTTTAAAAAAATAGCGGGGGGAGAAAAAGGACACAAACAGAAAATCAGAAAGAACATGTCACATACACAGCTTAGGGGTTAAAATGAACAATTGATTTACCCACGATAAAAAGATTAATGGAGGATGATAATGATGAGGGAACACACGGGTAATTTCAACAAGACAAGATAAGAAATTTATTCACAAATTTACATGCTTGAAGTAGTAGTGTCAGTAGCTTGTTTCAGGAAAATAAATCAGAATTCTTAATGTCCATAGTTTTAGCGTATTGTCATGAAGAGGAAATGTTCATATAATAGATTAAATGATCTGACATAAAATAATATTCAAAAATGTTTAAGACAAAAGTAAGAGAGTTTGTTGATCACCAAATGGATATATGGTTTGTATATGTGCAAAAGTAGATGAAGAGAGATCGTTTGAAATACTTGCCTTTTAGAGGCAGATAATATAATTGGCGAATAATTTTACATTGGCAAGGACTTCAACACTAGTCACAAAGAACTGAAATAAAACCTTTCACATGATGTAAGAGACTATTCTGATTAATTTAATTTTTCTCCTCATTTCATATCAAAAAGTATTTCATGTAGGCTAGCTACTTTCTTTCCCTCATCTTGGGTCACTAGCTAATTTCTGTGAAGGCCAAGTTTTCATTGGTTCAAAAATAATTTTAAATACATGTAAGCTTCTCTTCTTCTTCTTCTTCTTCTTCTTCTTCTTCTTCTTCTTCTTCTTCTTCAGCTCACTGGTTAATTTCTGTGAAAAGCAAAAATCTAACAGCAATTTTTTTCCTTTTTTTTTTCTTCAGTTCTCTGAATTTGAAGGGAGAGGGTAAAGCGAATTACTATTCACACTCACTACAGAAGAAACACATGGGGTCAACAAAAGTACCACTCTTGAAATACTATGGAAGATCAGTAGTATAAGAAACAAAAAAAATCTCTTATTTCTAGTTCTGATGGCAGATGTGCACTTAATTGACAATTATTTTAAGCTGATTTAAGATATTGATTGGTTACAATAGACTATTCTAGAGACCAGCATAACAATAATTATACAATGATGAAAAAGGGGTTGTTTGTGGTGGCTGAAAGAAAATGGGAACACATAGACAAACATGCCCATAATAATAATAAGAAGTGTCAAAAAGAATGTTTTTTCCCATGACACTGCTTTTTTAACTACCTTCACTCTTTGACAATGTTTATTGTTTTAAAAAGTGATGATTAGAATTGGAATAAAACCTAAACATATGATGAAATTGGATTTATACATTGTCTTTGTGCTTGAGAATTTACAACAAAAATAATAAACACTATCTATTTATCAGATTGTTTATTTACACTGTTTATTATATTATTTATATGAATGGTTGGCAAAACATCAGCTCATTGCTAATTGATTCCAACTTTATAAAATGGTAAATAATAAAGATTTCCTTATAGTTGGTTCACATATTTTAATAATTTAGTAAATGTTTATAAATTTATAAATGAAAAATTGTTTTTCACATTTATTTCTTTATAATTTGGTAAATGATAAATATTTTATTGCATTAGTTCTAATTGTATTAGTTTTTAGAATGTTGTAAATGTAAAATTATTCTTGTAAATAAACAATATAATAAATAATTAGCATTTAATATTTTTGTTGTAAATTCTCAATAACAAAAAATATATAAATTCACTTTTATCATATGTTTAGATTTTATTACAATTCTAAACATTGCTTTTTAAAACAATAAACATTGCAGAAGAGGGAAGGTAGTTAAAAGAACAGTGTCTTTTTGACACTTTGTCTTATTGCTGGCATATTTTTCAGTGTCTGCCAAAAATTGTTACCCAAGTGGGACCTTCTGAGTATTAAAATAACCTTCCAGTAAATATGAGTTTTATGTTATTTTCAACTGTTTATTACATTATAATCATAAATACTTTATGAGTTATTGACAGCATTAAGTATAGAGGAGTGATGAGGCAATTATTTTAATAATGTAAGAATATTAAAGAGGAATGGTTTAGTGGAATAATAAAGTGACAGATTAGTTTATTTTATAGTGAAATTAGTAATAATATTCAAAATAAATTGAATGTTTTTAATGCTAGAAAATATTTTATTTTATGTACGATGTGCATTCAAAAAGTATCCAACCTTTGGGCATAATAATGTAATAATTATAAATGTCATATTTTGTACATTTCCCAAATTTTATTTAATCAGCTTAAAAAATACTCCCCTTGGGTTGGAGTTAACACACTTCTCCCAGCAGTACTGCCACTGCTGGTAACACCAGTGGAACATCTCTGGAATGATATGAAGCTCCACCATTGCTTTTCTCATAATTTCCTCTTACAACTCAAATCGCTTCTCTTTCAGCATGGTTTTCAGATTGGGGAAAAACCAGAAGTCAAGAGAGTAGGGAGCCTGTCAAATAAGTAGTGTGTTGTTCTTGACTAGGAAAGCTTGGATTATATAGGTGGAATGAGTGTGTGCATTGTTATGACAAAGTTGCTAATTCTTCACCATCCATATGTTCAGAAGCATTACGAAGATGACATATAACCACCAGGTTGCATTCCTTATTGATTGTTTGGCCTTGTGGTTTGTATTCATGATGAACAATACTATGGGAGTTAAAGAAACACTCCACTGAAGTGCAGTCATGCTTGAAGCATTTGTATCACTCCTTGATCAGAGTTTTGAACATGGTATCATTGTCAAAGGCCTGCTGAATCTTCTGGCAAAACTTGATGCAATATTTCTGCTCAGTGCATTTGGTCATCGAAAATGAAAATCTGATGCATGCACTACATGGCTGTACTCTAGGCATAACAGCCTACAGGCACAAAAATGTTCATGCATACACAGGGAGAGAGAAACATCACCTCCCACTCAAAGGATTCTGCAGGAAAAAATAAAGTTGGATACATTTTGAAAGCACCTCAAATATTAAAATGGTTCTTTAACTTGGTTTTTATCACTTACATTTGCTTATATTTACTATGGAGGTTTTCATACGGACATCATTCCAAATTGTCCAAATTCAGAAATGGCTAAACTATAATCTATCATTGTGGGCTTTGACACTTTTGTTGAGATTTTTATGCTCCTGGTACATTTAACCTGTAAACAATTTTTGGTGGTCTCTTGTAAGTCCAAAGGAAGGCATAGGATTTAAACAAAGAAACATTAACAAATATATTTATAGGAAATTTTGCAAAAAGAAAAATTAGAAATGAAATTAAATGTGAAGAATTCAAAGCAACCTTCAGTGTCTGTAGTTGAAGTACTTATATTTTTGCAGGAGCGAAAATAATTTGTTTTCACCATGAAAAGTCACTAAGAAAGAGAAGGATTCTTTCAAATCTCATTCCACCTGTAATTATCATCATGGGGGCCGTAATTCAAAAAGTTTAACTGTTTTCTCAGATTGAGAATTACTTCAAATGAATAAATTCTATAAACCTTAAGAGAAGACAATTTTTCATCAGATTCTAGAGAGACTGGCACTTCAAAATCTCAAAGAGCTTTACCAAATAACAAAAACCCACATTATTTGAAGACATCTAACAGCAGCAACAATGAAAATGAGTAACACGTGTAACTAGAAAAGAAAATAATGATATAATCAAAGTTTTTAACTTAAAATTAAATTTCCATCAGTATTAGAAAAAAAAACTATAATATCTAATGGAATTGAAATGTTTAATTTCCTGTAAAGCTGCTTTCATAAAAAAGATTTTATAAATTTCAACCAATAATAGTAACACTAACTGACCACTGAATTGTTGAACGTTTTCTATATGGAAATGGCTAATTTTACTATTAAGATTTTTCTTTATTAGACTGGTTGATTTTGGTTTAGTAGGATCACATTAATGTCTCATCTCAGCAAACACATAGGAACAATTTCAAAATGAAGCAGCTTTAACAAATTTATGAATCTACAAGGGGCTTCTTGAAAGTTCTCAGTCCTCCCTCCCAACCAATACTGACATTTGGTCATTTGGTTAGATCTTGAGAAGTTGGTTGGACCAGGAACTTTTCAGCACACTTTGTATATGTAATAGCAACATTTATTTAAAGTGTTTTATTTCATTTTCTCATTTCATTGTCTCAGCCACAATTGACTTCTATACAATGGATTCATTTAGAAAACATATACTGTATATTTCCATGTATAAAGCAACCTATAGATAAAACAAGACCCAAAATCTAAGTAAATTTTTATGATTTCATTCGATATCTGTAGTATAAGACGACCAAACATGTTGGCTAATCTATGTATGTTAGGCTAGCCTATGCCACCAGTAGCAGTTAGGCCTATCAAATGACAACTACAGGTAAAGAATAAAGTTTATGTTATTACAAATTTTGTTTTGCTTACCTTTATTGTTATCAAATCAAACAGAATAAAATAATATAAAGTATTAATATAATAATTTTATTTTACAAAACACCACAAGAACTGATTTGGATAAATAAAGACATTGCATTTTATTTATTCAATAAGGTTTATTGTAATTATGTCAAATCCTGTGTGGTCTGCTTAGAATTTTGAAACTATTGCCTGTTTCTTATCAACGATAAGTGTTTGAGCCAAAGTTAAATCCAGGATTCTGAATACTGATTGTTAAGGTAGATATGTTGGCTCCACTTGGTACAATACAATTTTCCTACCTCCTTTTCTGCCTATCTACTCTGTTTGAATAAGCTCAGCAAATATTTCTTCAAATCCCAGCTGAGATCAGGAATGTGGCAGTGGGATTTTTAATGCATTGGGGAGTGGCAGCAAACATAGACTCTATTAATGTCCGCAGGTAAACATTTTTTTTATTTGTATTCATTTGCATAACTAATAGAGAGTAAGATTTCTAAGGATTCCACTGGTAATATAGAAGCTCACAGCCATATCATATTGATCAGTCACGTTTTCACACAAGGCTAGAGAAACCAGTCTACCTTGCTATTTAATCCATTGCTAAAGAGAGAAGAGATGGTTTCATGTCTTCCTCAACTGAAGTTGTATGAAAGTGAATACAACAGACTATCTTAGGATTTGAACTTATCTTGCTGATTCTATTTTTCATGCCGATATCTGCAACACCACCCACACATCATTTCTTCTTCTATGGGGTGTGTCTCTTTATGATATGGCCAATCATGGCTGTCTACAACTTCCTATCCTTTGTAGCTCTTAGCAATGTTTGTCTTTTTACTATCCCTCCTAATCCCTGTCCTGTCACCCATTTACACAAGCTTGTTAGGCAGGTTACTCACTATTTCCCTCTCTCCCTCTTGCTTTGAATGTCAAATTCTCCAATCCATCTTGCTTTATAATGTGTCTTAGATATTTCAACTATCTATTTCTGATTTTAAGTATAATCATTTTTTTTTTCCTTTAAACTTGCTCATTGCTTATAGGCTTCGTCCATGATATTCTCAGCACCCTACTGTAGAATGACATCTCTGTTGACTCAAGATTCCTCATCATCTGTAAGAAAATTACTCATCATTCACTTTCATATAAGAGTACAGTGTGACCCGGATATAAGAGAGATTTTCTCTGGTCCCAAATTAGAGCCTGTGTTAATGTAAACAAAATAGACCAAACCCGGATATAAGAGAAACCCGGATATAAGAGACTTCTTCTCTGGTTCCTACAACTCTCTTATATCCGGGTTACACTGTATAAATATTATGCAGTATTTGATCATGAAATATTCAAGTCAAGTTTGCAATTGCATTTTACTTATGTCAAGGCTTACAGCTATATCGCATTGAAACACTGGTTCTTGTCTGATAACCAAAATTTAAGCAATGTCAAGCCTGGTCTGTACCTTGATGGGTGACTGCTTTAGGATACCAGGTGCTGTAAGCTTGGATGTATGAGTGGTATGGATTTATGGCCATATCACATTAAAACACCAGTTCAATGTCGAGCATGGTCAGTTCCTACATGGATGACCACTTGTGAATACTGGGTGCTGTAAGCTTGGATGTGAGGGTGGTATGGTCATATCGCTATGAAACATGGTTCTTATCCAATTACCAGTTAAGCAATGTGAAGTCAGTTCAGTACCTAGATAGGTGATCACTTGCGAATACCAGATACTGTAACCTTAGAGTGTGCAGATGGTGTAATGAATGACAGCTTGGAAATCATAGAGCTGAGTTCCAATTACAATCAGGTTCAAATACCCTTGGGAAAAGTATGATTCCACATCATCTCCACCTTCCCACTATGGGTTAATTAGTAGGACTTGCTTCAGTAAATACTTCTTATCTCAAAAACAATGCAAAATTATAATCTGAAAATATTTTCTGGCTTTAAATAACCTGCAAGTATTGATAAAACATAAAAAACAAATCAGTCAATACATCAAAAACTTTATGATGCTCTGCATTTAATTCTTTATGCTGAATATTTAACTAAACAATTAACATTCTGTTCACCATTGAATAATTATGGCTTATTCTCCAATTCTGGACTCTAAAATAGCCTATTCTACCCAATCAATATCTTAAATCAGCTTAAAGTAACTGTCAATTCAGTGCACATCTGCTATCATGCCTAGAAATAATTGATTTTTTTGTTTATTATCCTACTGGTCTTCTATAGTATTTCAAATGTTGTATTTTTATGTGTTTCTTCTTCTTCTTCTTCTTCTTCTTCTTCTTCTATGTGCCATGTTCTCTCACAACTTTTGTCAATCAAAGCAATATTTGTCTTTTTACTATTCCTCTCAATCCCTATTATGTCATCTATATACACAAGCTCGTTAGGTAGGTTACTATCTGTTTTTCTCTCTCCCTCTTGCCTTCATTATATCTTGCAAGTGTCAAATTCTCTGAGCCCTCTTTCCTCATTATGTAACCTAGAAATTTCAACTACCTCTTTCTGATTCTAAGTGTTTTCTTGTTTCCATTTCCTTTAAAACATACTTGTTGCTCACATGCTACACAGCCATGTCATTCTCAGCATCCTTCTGTAGAACCATATCTGTTGGCTTCATTTGTGAGAAAATTGTCCAGCATTTGCTACCATATGGGAGGACTGATATTACATAGCAGTTCAGCATTTCCTGTTTCTGAATATTTTGTTTAGCTTTTGGAAGTTATCTACCCATTGCATTAGTGGTTCCTTTCTCAGTAGCATACTATTCTTAATAATTAATAAAGATATTTGACCTGAGAAGGCAAATCCCAGCATGTGGCACCTTTGGAAAGTGCATGAAAAACCATACTTCAGGTTGACCCAAAACTTGCGAGTGAAACTAAGTAGATGAAACTGTTCACAGACTGTTGATGGTTGTGCTATCAACAAATCAACAAAACTGAGGGTTCTCTCCCAGAAAATGAAACTAATGTTCACTCAGCATAGTTAGAGTATAAACCAATTGTAGGTTCTATATGGATCAAACAAGCACAAATATGCCTGCAGCAGAAATTGGTTAGTCATCCTACCAGATGAGTATGCTTAAAAAATAAACATCCAGCCATTATATATATATATATATATATATATATATATATATATATATATATTTTTTAAGACATTTTTATGTTTATACATTCTTTTTATAGATACAAATATGCTGACGTGCTCTTAACCAATCGAGCCACGGAGAACGAATATATTCTATTTCTCAAACATTCAGGCTAGTAAATGTTGTTTAATACTGTTGATTATAAACAGAGCATTTACTTAAATATTTGTATCTATAAAAAGAATGTATAACCATAAAAATGTCTTAAAAATAATTGTTGGGCTTTGTCCATTTCATAATGTGTGACGTCATCTGTTTACATTTGATATGCCATGAGCAGATATGAATGTATGTGAGAGAATCATGGAAGATTGAAGTTTAAAGGCAGTAAATTTGACCTTGCTAATCGAACGATTCTCTGTGGCTCGATCGGTTAAGAGCACGTAAGGGTAAATGATGGTTCTGAATAGGATACAGGTTTGAATCCTGTTGGAGAATGAATATTTTCTATGAAATATGAATATTTGTATCTATAAAAAGAATGTATAAACATAAAAATGTCTTAAAAATAATTTGTCCATTTCATAATATATATATATATATATAGTTTTAATTAATTCAAGTATTCAGAAGTATTAGGAAAAAATAAGTAACTTTATATATTACAATTGTTTTAAATAAGACTATGTTTTTTTCATGTTATAATTTTAGTTTGATATTTATCTGAACTCCATAATAATAAATAATTTAAATATATAAACATGTAAATAAATATTGATTTAATTAAGTAGATAACCAATAAGTCTTAATATTTGTTTCGTTTTTTATATTTAGAATATGTTTATGTGTGTGTGTGTATAAAATAGGATATAGAATCCCAACAAAGTTTTGAAGAAATATGACAAATGGAAAAACGTTTCATTGAAACTAGATTTGATTACATGTTTCACCTTTTTAGGCTTTATCAGGTCAAAAAACTAAAGAAAGAAATATGTGTGTGTATTTGTGTGTATGTTTAAATAATAAATCATTCATACTTTTTAACATAAATTAAATTCAGAAAAGGCTATATGAATCCTTTACTTTTGACCCATTCTGAAAATCAGATGAGGATTTACCTTACAGAAAAGCTGTAAGAATATATGAATAACTTTCAGTTTTTAATTAGAATTATAAAGAAGAGTTACAGAATAAATATTAAGTGCTTTATTTTTAAAGTCACTGCTTTTCTTTTCTTCCATCACAAGCAATGCCAATTTAGTGGGGAAAAGCACTAATGATAGCAACATGTAGCAACCATGTCAGAATGTATGACCTTGGGGCTAAGCCCTTTTTCTGCAGGCGCTTGATTACAACACAATGCCAAATTTTGTCCATTTACAAGAGAAGTCGTGACTAGTTATATTTGAAGTTTTCTTTGAAGAGTCATATGTCATTTTACCTGGAAAAAAAACGATACTGTTATTAATAAGAAGAGTTTGAATTATTGTATGCAAGAGTTCACAGCTCATACCATCACTCCTTCATAGTCAGCCTATGAACATTTCAGCCCACTCTCATACTTTTGTGGTGCTCATTAAACAGTCTGATATCAATTTATCTGGAAAGAAACAATGCAGTTATTAATAAGAGTGGAAATTAATGCATGCAAGTTTTCATAGCTCTAGCATCATAGTCAACCTACGAACTGCCGTATACCCTATTTTGGAATAACATACAAATAATATAGCCCACACCAAAATATATCAAGTGATATATCTTCTTCATCCATATTTTAGAAATCATATATGTGTCACATATGACGGGCTACCATTTTTTATCTTCTTGGAAACTTTAGTTTACAGCTGCCAAAAGTGAAGTCTACATGATTTTTCGGTATGGAATGGAAAGCAGACAGCTCTTCCGAAATGCTTGGGTCTTGGAACAGAAGATCATTGAAAACTATGGCGGCAAATTCCTTGGTTTTTCCAATAAAGTAAGTACTTTTCTTTTTCTTTTGATCTATTTTTTTTTTTAAATTTATTCACCTTCTCCAACCTTCCAATAATCATACACTAAAGAAATGGCACTGTCAGCCAAGTAGAGTTCACTTTCTCCACTATCAGCATCAATTTATCATCTGGGACACATTTGATAATGAATTATTGGTTCCAATCTTGGGAGTGACTGCCAAAAATCCCTGCTCCCCAAATTTATAGACAAATCCTACAGAGGCATTGCTGAGATTTCTTCCTAGTCAATAAAAATAGACAATTCTTGATATTACTCAAATACTTCTTTTTCTTTCTTGCCTTGAAGTCAGAAGGCTATAACTATTTGACTGTATCCCTTTTGTGTGGGAACATTATTTCTATTTTGTGAACTTTTTACTTTGTTACTGTCTTATAGTTGCTTTGTAATAGTGTTTAAATAGTTTTTAATATTTTTTGTCATAAATTCTCAAGAACAAAGAAAATGTATGAATTCACTTTCATCATATATTTTAGGATTTGTGTTTTATTACAATTCTAATCATCAATTTTTAAAATAATAAACATTGCCAAGGAGTGAAGATAGTCAGAATAACAGCAGTGTGAAGAGAAAAACTGTCCTTTTGACATTTTTTTTTTTACAGGAATGAAGGTCCAAGTTTGCTTTTCATGGTTGTGACTTTGGACTGTACTCAGCAAATATCACTTATCAAAACTCAGGTTTCAAAATTGATATCCTCATAATGTAGCCTTTCACATTATTGTCAAAAGCTACATTCTATATTTGGTATACACACATACACACACACACACATCTTTTTAAAGAAACTTTTTTTGTAACTCGTTAACTGAAATTGTATAAAGCATTGGAATGCTTTCTTTCATTGGTTTAAGAGTGAATGTATGGGTGGTGTAATTGATTACAGCTCAGAATGAGAAATGGAAGAGTTGAGTTCAAATTCCAGCTGGGTTTGTTTCATTACACACACAAATATCATTGGGAAGGTATGAATCTATCACCTTCCTTCAGCTATGGGTTAGATAGTAGGATTTCTATCTAGTAAATTCATTGTTATCACCAAAAAGTTGTAAATGCAATATTCATTTGCAAATAAGGGTCCTGGGTATCATGATAAACTACATCTGGCAACAAGGCCTCTGATCGTGATGATTTGAGATGAATGGAACCACCTCTTAATTGCTGTTGGTCCTAGGTCCATCCTAACCTGGGGTGATAGCACCTGTTAGAGAAATCCCAATCAAAACACTATCAAAGTACAAAAATACATTTTTATAGTAAAAATACCAGCAATACATTTTTTTCAAATAAATATTAATAGCAATACATTTTTGGAAAATAAAAAAAATTATTACCAGCGATATATTTTTGTAAAAGAAATTACTAATGCTCTTAAGAAAATTAAATTTCGGCATAAAATGACCCATGAGGAGTTGATATATTACTAAACAAACAAACGAATCTATTCTAAAAATCTTGTCAGCATTAAATAACCTATTGAGGTTGATATGCCATAAAACAAAATAAACCCTAACCCTGACCATTTTAAGACCAAAACAAGAAATGATAACAAAAACAAATTTTTGCTCCAGCTCATATATTTAGCATAAAAAGTCAATGGTGTGTGTTAAAGGAATCAGGATTCAAAAATTTTTGCTGATAGCACTTCAAATAATAGGCATGTTTTGGCACCCAAATGCTTTAAGAATTGATGTGCTTTTCCTCAACTTATTGAAATACTAAGTTTGGGATTTTGCCTAGGCCAAAAACTTTTCAATACCACCTTGTAATAATAAAATAAGGTCATTCATCTTGATTTGTAAAATGCTAAATTCAAAAAGCAAAAAATATTTGATGGATGTTTAATTTCAGAAAATTAAATTCTTATTTCCTTCACAGTGAGTATTAAGAAAAAGAGAAAAAATCCTTGTTTTGTGATGTCAATGAACACTTGTTGCCTCTTTTGTAATGCTCAGTGTAGCAGAGACTTTGTAATTGCAGATACCACTATAGTACACCGTCGAACAATGTCAGATGCCTTTGAATAATATGCACACTAATAGCACTGGCTTGATAATATTCATTTGAATAGTAATCCATATTTTGATCCAAATAGTATAGAGAAGAGAATAGTGGTCCGTATAGTAATAGAGGATAGTGTAGAAATACAGATCTGAATAGTAATAGAGCATAGACTAGAAATGCTGATCAATCTAGATGTCATGTGACTTCCTATATATGCATTTCCTCTATGGTCACATAGTCTACTTAATTCAATAATGTGATTGCCTGAGTTTGCTCACTGGCAATCTATATTCAAACTCAATTGTCGGCAGTGACACTTTATTCCTATATAACACCTTGCAAGTTTTCTTGAAAGATCTAGATTCACAAAGTGTGATGAGTCATTAGAATGTAAACTGCTTTGTGAATATTTGTGTCATCAATAAGCAAATGTTGATTTTGCAGCAAGCCATTGACAGCAACAGTTGAAACCATTCAGCTGTTGTTTATACCCTCTGTAAAAACAAAATCTTTAATATGAAATTGGTAAATGTTCATAGATGTCTGAAAACCTGTCCCTCTTTCCATAATCAATATTCTGATGCTTGATCATTAAAACACTGATTTTAGGAAGTGGGTCAGGTCAAGAACAAAATGCAAACATTTACATTGCATCGGAATATCTCAATCTATCAATCATTAAACACCATATTTCTACCATTAATCCCCCAAAATATGTAAAACTTATATATACAGAAAAATAGAAAACCGAAAACCTCATTGCTACTAATCAAAATAACTTTATCAAATCTAAACTAGCGATGACCAATATAGCGTATCAATTTCATTACTCAATACAAGACTGTTTCTTGTCATGACTCAACTACCTATATTGATCATATGACTACCTCCTTCTGTCAATGCTTCACGTGTCATTTTGTCTGACCATAGTACCATAAAAAGCACTTAACCACCCACAATTTACAACAACCTTTAAGGAAGATTCTAGTTGATGACACTAGCATCCGATATAGATCCCATTATCGAAAATATCTTGCTGTGAGAGAGGATCTTTATATAAAACATCTCACACCCAGTATAAATCTCACCTTATTCAGCAGTTGAAATGGTGTATTTTAAAAAATAGTAAGACACCAACTCGAATTCCAGCCACAATCTACTCAAGAACCTTGGGAATAAATGCTACTACTAGTCAAACAGCACAAGAACTACATCTTAAACAGTCAAACATGTGAAGAAATATATATGTGTATATAATGTAAATCACTAACACCTAGCAAAACCGGAAACACATGCTAGAGTTTAATACATTTAAAGGTCAACAGACATTTATGAAAAAATGCTCAATATTTAAAAATAAACCAACAATAGTTAATAGATAAAGAAAAGTTTAAAAGACTTATTTTTCTAACTTCAAGTTTTGCAAATAGACACTTTTGAAATTAGCTTGGCATTAATATTTAGCATATATAAATATATCTGGAGTTTTGATAGATTTTGACCTGAATGGATAGGTAAATCTTTTAAGCGTTCTTTTATATATATATATATATATATATATATATGTATGCATGTATGTACAAATATATATGTACAAATATATAAATACATACATATATATATATGTAGTGGAAAGTTTGGTGGTTACCATTTATTTAATGGTGTTTGGTTATCCAAATCAATCCATACAGTTTTTTTACTCTATGAATATGTTAAGCAAAATGCAAAAACAACAAAAGAAACAACAAGAAACATTTGTGATTGAAGACAAAAGACAAATATTTGAATAACAAGTAATTTTCAAAGTATTTTGGGAATTAAAATATTTTACAAAAATATGGTCAATTTTTTTGGGTGAAATCTTGTTGGTTTAATTTATGTTGAACTCAAGTTTGATGAAAGATTAAATTTTGTTAATGAGTTCTAATTTGAAAGATTGTTTGTTAAAATCTGTTAATGAAGATTCCGTAAATTAATTACAAGAGAAAAAATTACTGTTCATGTAAGTAGTAAATGTTTGTAGAGTTGAATGCAATTTGTGACGAAGAAGTTATCTACCTTTGATTGTTTTGTGTAATACAATGTTCTCAAATGTAGAGAAATAAGTTGATTTGTTAGGAATTTGTTTAACTTCTGTGTAAAGGAATTTGGTGAGTGAATAAAGTTCACTGATAAGTTTTGATGAGTGAGTGTTAATATTGTTAAGTTGTATAATGTTTGTATGAACAAAGAAGCTTAAAATTGTGTGATGTGAAGTTTAGTTGCAATTTGATTCATGTCACAATTCTCACTGGCAAGCGTGAACAAGTTTCTGTTTTTATTTGCTTCAGGTGGCTCACAGAGACTTGGCACACACTTAGATTTCAGTCACAAGATGTAAAAATTAGTTAAGCATGGATGGATAGTCACACCTACTTGTATATTTATTAACCAATGAGGGTTTAAGATATTTTTGAAGATGTATGAACTTGAAAGTATCCTGTGATACACTTTTTGCACAGATTTGACCCAACTAATTTAGGTATTGGAATAATGTAGAATTTGGGTTCTACACATATATATATACATATATATATACATGTGTATGTTATTAAGCTTATCAGACAATATGTAAAGGAATTTGCTTAAAATAATTAGACAAAACTTGTCTATATTATTTAATGAAACGTGCATTAATGAAAATATACTGCCTCAATACACACAATATATATATATATATATATATATATATATATATATATATATATATATATATATCTGTATGGGTGTATGTGTATACATATTTGTGTATATATTTATATTTTTTATATATATATATGTCCGTGTATGTATTCATGTGTACTCATGTATATATGAGTATATATGGGGTATATTTAAATATCTGTATGTTAATGTGTTTTTTTTTTATATATATATATATATATATATATATATATATATATATATAAAAGAAAACACATT